CTTAAAAAGATTACTTCGCTTGTGTCCCTTACTGAGTAAAGTTGTGAAGAAGAACCAACAACAACAGACACGCACTCACACATACCCACAAACACGCACACTCATACGCGCACCACTCACACGCAGCCACGCACACTCACATTACACACTCGCACACACGCTCACACAGAGATTTTACCTTAGTGTACAAAGAAAGAAAATGCGAGAGGCAACAGTGGGTAATGAATTATAGCACTGTTGCGTGTAGCACGCATACACAAACACACACACACACAGACGCAACCGCACATATATACATATCCACACACATCACGCACACACACTCACACACACACACACACTTACTCACACACACACACACACACACACACACACATATATATATATATATATATATATATATATATATATATATATATATATATATAATTATATACTGATTTTATATATATAAACACACACATATAAACCAACTATAATTATATCCGGACTGTTTACCGCTGATTTTTTTATGAGATCAAGCTTGTGCAAAGGTCATATTACGTTTCTGTAGTGCGACCGTACAGAAAGCAATGACAAACTACTTGACGTAAATTTGCCTTAAAAAAACACACAACAGCCAGGTGTTGTTAGGGTTGGTTCTGCAACGTTCTGTAAAGGATACGCAACTAACCTGAGTGTCTCTTTTACTCGCTCATCCCAACTCTTGCTTGGTCTGCATTTGGATGCAGCCTGCTGTTCTTGTGTAGTACTGACTGATTTTATTCAACTCTGACCATACGACCAAACCATTTTATTTTTTGATGTTCTACTAAACCATTCACCAGTATTTTGCCTACAATTTTTCTTTATTGGTGACCTTGTCTCCTGTTGTTTTTCGGTCGCATTTCTTACACAATTCATCACACATGATGTAATTTTTGGATAAAATTTTCTATGCCTGGCATTGATAGCACAAGGTAAGTACAAACAAAACATTTATCAGCTGCTTTATTTTGTGCATGTTGATATTTTGATGCCTGAAAAGTGGCTTTGTTTGATAACCTACGTTGCTGGCCTTCTGAATTCTGTTTTTTTTTTTTTTTTTCTTTTGATTTCTCTGTAAACAGAAATTCTTCTGATTTAAAAACAGAGTCATTAATGCTGATGTTTACGGCTTTATTAGGACAGTGAATAACAAAGGGCCTGAAAAATGAGACTCATATGGCTAGTACCGGTCAGGACTTTCATAGTGCTAGACGGAGCCTGATTCTGGACGCTGCTCTCGCAAAAAGAAATAGCAACCTACTGTCTGTATTATGTAAATAAAAATCATGCCTCTACACGCATTTTCTTTGGTCATGTAATGAGAAGGGTAAAACTGCTGTACACGGTGAAGGCCGAGCGGCTAGACGCTCGCCGCGGATCGGAAAGGTCGTGGGTTCGCTCCCTGGCGGAGCGAGACTTTTTTCAAAAATGACTTTGGCTCCCAGGTCGGCCCAGCCTTGAGTGGGCACCGGATGCAGTCCCGGGAAAGTGAAGGCGGCCGGCGTGATACTGACCACATCACCCATTTTGTGCCGATTGGCCTATAAAAAATATAGGTCTAGCCCTACATGACCTATACGCCTTAAGGCGTGGAAAAGAGAAAGACCGAGAGAGTAGATGCTGGACAGTTTGATATCACTGAATGGAAGATAATCTGTGTATGAACTGAATGAAAGTACACGAGACAGATGTTTTTAGATGACGTAACTAGCAACGCCACACAGCAGGTGTGCTCAGTGGACTCGAGGTATGGTGTCCGCCTCGAGTGCTGGAGGTCCCGGGTTTAAGATCCGATGAAAGCTAGGATTTTATAACGTGGACTTCTAGTAATTTTCCCTTGTCTCTGGGTAGTAAAATTGGACGCCCACGTGTATTCTTGCGCACCTAAAAAAAATCACTTTGCAGTTGGGAATTGAAAAGAGTAGCCTTACGGTGCTGCTCGGGCAAAATTTGGAGTTAAGAATCTACCCAAAGTATTTCAGGGCTCTTGTCGGTGCAACGGAGTTCGTGCACTGCGCTGCGATTCTACAGACTCGAGCTTGAGTTAGAAGTCGAACGGAACACTTATGGGCTACGCCCGTGTGCAATGATTTTGTTTCATCGAATAAACAAACAAACAAACAAGCTATACAGTGTGGACTGTAAGAAGAGGATAGCCACAAACCTGGTTCACAGATATGTGTCTGGTCCTGTTGCTGCTACAGAATACTGAAACTTCACTGCTAAACAGAAGATCTTATCTCAAAGCAGCAACTGATGTCGCATTTGCTAACTTGAAAAATAAACTGCTACCTACATTTGCTTTTCCTTCTCGTCAGCAAAACACCTTGCCAGTCCGCAGGTGCAAGAAAAGGTTGAAGAACATTGTGATAATGGTGCTTAAATAGTTTTGATTTGCAATTTACAAATCAATGTTAACATTTGATTATCTATTAACAAATCAATTTTAACATTTGATTAACCGTTTACAGATCAATTTTAACATTTGATTAGCTGTTTACCAGTCAGTTTTAACATACTCTGAAAACTGCTACCCTCGGACAGCGTCAATGTACACAGTGAATCTCATAAATGCATTAATTAACTGAATGTGCTTGCTCTGCAACAATGCCTCTTGATTTCTGGCAGTCTGAAATCGTATGGCACTCTGCAGTGTGAAGCTTGGAAGTACACCAGACAAAGTCATGAATATTCAGATTACTTTGTCCTCAAGTGTAGTCAAGGTGTAAGGCATCTGTCAGTTGGCCAGTTTGGATCTACGCTGATTCCCTGGAAGTTTCTAGCCATATACGTATAAATGCTGGGGAAACAGAGACCAAACGAAATATTTTTAATCACCGCGTTGTTTTCCTGTTCTAAACTTGAACAAAGAAACAAGTAGCAATAGACTGCATAACTGTATTTCAATTAGAAGGAAACGTTTTAAATTGCTAATGCTCACAATATCATGGACAAAGAAGAAACAAAATACCAACATGCTGAAAGATCTGAATATCAAGGAAACTGAGTATTTATATAACTCCTAAATATCTGCCTCTTTTTGTTATTCGGTCCACCCTTCCGCCACACTAGGTCAACTATTGCAGCATATATTGTGTTGACATTTCAAATTGAAGTATATACAATTTTACGTTTCTATCACCATTATTAGATCAGAAAATAAACACAAGGTACAGTTTTAAATGTTCCTTGAAGTTGGCACTAATACCAATGGAAATCCATGCTGGCTGTTGGGTGGGGACAGAGCGATTTGTGACAAAGTAAGGATGTTGAAGTCAGGATATTAAAGTAAGGATGTTAAAGTCAGGATATTGAAGTAAGGATGTTAAAGTCAGGATATTAAAGTTAGGATGTTAAAGTCAATATATTAAAGTAAGGATGTTAAAGTCAGTATATTAAAGTAAGGATGTTAAAGTCAGGATATTAAAGTAAGGATGTTAAAGTCAGCATATTAAAGTTAGGATGTTAAAGTAAGGATCTGCTGTGACGTTGTTTTTTTTTTTTTTTTTTTTTTAATTATCAACACAATGTATATCTAGTTAACCTCTAAATGAGGGAGAATGAGTTTTAACTATCATTTTTGATGCAATTGCCTTCAAACAGTCTTATAATATCCACGGAAATTGAACTGGGTATCTGAGTTTTGCCGTTTTGCTTTCAAGATTGATATTTAGTCATTTCTGGGTGTCAACAATTTAGATTTAGATCAGGTTTATCAGGTCTAGACGACAGATCACCATCACGGCACAATGGAAGAATCCCATAAGTGCTCCGTTCTACTCCTGACTCAAGCTTGAGTTCGAAAATGCCACGCAGTGCACGAACACCGTTGCAGCGGCGAGGATCCAGAAATGCCTTGGGTATATTTTTAACTCCAGATTTTGCCCAGGCAGCGCCTTAGGCTACTTTCGATTTCCAACCAGCAATAGATTTTTATGTGCGCAAAAATACACACGGGCGTTCGATCTTACTACCTAGAGACAATGGGACAATTAATAGAAGACTACGTGAAAAACTCCCAGCCTTCAACTGGGCTTGAACCCGGGACATCCAGCATTCGAGGCAGACACCATACCTCCAGATCATGCCGCTCCCAACAATCTAGGTACCAGTCTGGAAGGAGAGGGGAGAGGACAAAAAGGCTGGCTTTCAACGAATGTAGTGAAAGTGCTGTGGAAATCTTTCTACCTAAATGGTACTGAATTTCCTATCTCTTAAATTTCCTTAGAATAACTATTGTCTCATATTACTCTCTCTCTCTCTCTCTCTCTCTCTCTCTCTCTCTCTCTCTCTCTCTCTCTCTCTCTCTCTCTCTCTCTCTCTCTCTCTCTCTCTCTCTCTCTTCCCTTCTCTCTCTCTCTCTCTCTCTCTCTCTCTCTCTCTCTCTCTCTCTCTCTCTCTCTCTCTGTGTTTTTTTTCTCAGAAATCGATCGATTGATCAGTTTGCCTACTTCGGGTTACTAACTAAAGTTTCCCATACCATTCTGAAATAAATATTTTAAAAAAAACTTATCTGGACGGCAGACCGAAAAAGATCAACCCCAGATGCCCCATTGAACTTCTAAGAATTTCTCGTTATTGCACCCGTAACTGCGGCCCTGGTCAGGTGTCGTCTGCATCATTTTGCAAGTTAGGAACTTTTAGATATAAAAATACCTAATGTTTTATCATGCACATAAAGGTATCATCCAAACATCTGATATACGTTATCGGTAATAACGAGATATGCAGAAGCATGATCACCCACGCCAGTAGGCAAGGTACTTGATGATGATGGAGATGATAATGATGATGATGATGACGATGATGATGATGATGATGACGATGATGACGACGACGATGATGATGACGACGACGACGATGATGATGATGATGATGATGACGATGATGATGATGACGACGATGATGATGATGACGATGATGATGATGACGACGATGATGATGATGATGATACTTTTAAACTTTATGATTACCTTCATAATTAACTTTGCCCTCCTCGGTGACGTCGGCGTCTTTCATCAGATCATCAAGCTCTTTCTCTGAAAGTGGTTCTCCCAGGTTCTGCAGTGCCATCTTCAACTCGTTTACATCGATGAACCCGTCTTCATTGGAGTCAAATACCTGTCAAATATTTGTACTCTTGCATAAAAAGGTATTGTAACTCTTAAATAACAATGTAAAGTAACTCTTAGATTACGAGGTAAAGTAACTCTTAGAAAACAATGTAAAGTAACTCCTTAATAACTTGTAAAGTAACTCTTAGATGACAATGTAAAGTAATTCTTAGACAGAAATGTACAGTAACTCTTAGACAACAATGTAAAGTAACTCTTAGATAATTATAAAGTAGAGACGGAAAGAGAGTGATCAAACAGGCACTGAAACGGGAAATTGGGGGAACTCATAAAACTAGGACGCCCAAGAAAAACCGGAACATAACGTTGATGAGGGAAGAAGCTAAAGATGCTAGACTGGGTTCCATCGCTGATACTGAAGTCTTTGCCCAAGATAAACTTTCAGTAGTGAAATAGACTGTCAGTCCTGTATGACACATAATGGCACATAAGACAATGAATGAATCATCATCATCATAGACCATTTCTAGGGTTAAGCGCCGTAGGGAGGAATCATGTGCGATCCAGTGCACGCTGACTGACACTGGCTATTGTCGTGCCGTGAAAGCGTAAAGTCTCTTTATTTATGTCTAGGAGCTGGTGGGCCGAAACATTTGTTGACGAGAGATCACTTCTACTGATGATTGGTAGACTCCTGCTGTACATGCTCCCCTGTGGAGTTTCTTCTTATTGTACGTGGCTAGCCCACTAGACAGCCAGGAAAGACTGGCGGACACCTCTGGGAAGACTGGCGGGTGAACTGACATTCTGGGACAGATGTCGACTGTGGACCGGGCCGACCACCCCTAACACAGTATAATACCTCCGATTTCCAAACATAAATATGCCCTCAGGGTCCATTGAAAGAGAGGAAGAATAATGGAGCCAAAATTATAGATAAACGGTGACGACCTTGCTAGCCCCCGGACTGAGATTATTATCGAAAGACCGGGTTATCAATGTACATGTGGAAAGAGCTTCACGGGGTTGCATTTTCTGAGAACTAATGCCGGAAGGATGAAATGCGAGGGTGCGCCACGCAGTAAACGTCGTCACATAACTACTAATTCCGTGGTAGTTACTGAGTCGTCAGGGAACGACGGGCAGGGTATACCCCACTTACCCAGAGAGGCCCATGACGTCGACTACGGAGGCGCACTTTTGATGATTCATGAAAAAGTGCGTTCGAAGATCAGGTTTCCACCTGCGAGCGACAAGGTGTCGTGGTTCAAGCTGGAGGGGACACTGTGTGAGAAAATAAATGATGATGTTAAGAAAAAGTCTCTAGGTGATAAGCTTTCTCTGTTTGGTAAAATAATATACGAGCACTGTTCCCGCGAGTTCGCTACAGCGATAAGACGCTGCCGGGCGTCAAGCGAAATAAAAGCAGACGACAGGGGGACATTGAGATGTGCAGAGCAGACAAAAACGCACTCGGAAAACGGTTTAAAGCTGCTACAAGCAGCGAACGGGAAGGGCTTTACAAGGTCTGGTTGCACCTGAAAGCCAGACACGGTGCCCTCTGTCGCGATGAGCGTTTCTGTAACAACAGAATAAGAACCAAAAGGGAGGGAGAAAAATTATTTAGGGACCCTTTTAAGTTTTCCAGAGGTCTATTCGAGCAACCGAAGTCTGGGATTCTGGTGGTCGGTAAAGGAGAGCTTGAGTCACATCTACGCAATGTGTACTCAAAAAGAAAAAGCAATGAACCTTTCGATGACAACCCAGAGATCCTTAGTGGCCTGAAGCGGCGTGAGTTGCCGAAAGTACCATTTAAAATGATACCTCAGTCTTGGACTGAGGTCGAAGAAGTTGTGAAAAGAGCTAGCGGCAAGTCCGCCCCAGGTGTTTTGTAGGGTTGTGTACAAGCGCTGTCCGAAAAACCTCCAAATGCTTCACCGCTTGCTGAGATTAGCGCGGAGCCGAAATCACATATGTTCAGAGTGGCAACGGACCAACTGGGTCTACATTCCCAAGGAGCGAGACTCCACGAGTCTGTCCCATTTCAGACCTATTTCGCTGTTGAATGTTGAGGGCAAAATATTCTTCTCAGTTATGGCTCCGCCGGCTCACACAGTATCTGATGGCGAACAAGTACATCGTCATACGAGTGTTCAAAAGGTGAAATCCCCGGGCGTCCGCTTGGTGCCTCGACCACGCGACTATGGATCTGGGAGTCTGTTCAGAGAGCCAAGGTAGAGAGAACTCCGTAACATTGCACGCGATATGGTTGGACCCGCCAATGCCTATGGGGTGGGGCTCCCAGTAAGCTACTGTGTCAGGCGTTTCCGCATGTTCCACGTACCGACACCGCGAACAGATCACTGAACGAAATGATCAGAAATAATTTCTCAACGCAACAGTTCGACCCCCGCTTAACGCTTCTCTACCTCGACGTTTACTTACGTTCGCATCTTAGCTACAGAGCCACTCACCACTTCTATGTACAATGTGATAAAAACAGCTGGCAGCCTTGCGAGGAAATGAGCGCAAACGAGATCACTAAAAAAAACTGGGTGAGGCTGCTGAAAGGGCCAGCCGAGCTGACCACCCTACACGAGGGTCTGGACACAACGGAAACGTCGTGACAAGGACCGGCCTCCGGTGAGCTGACCGTTCGGGTATCTAGTGGAAAAGAAAGTCTTATCCCTTAAAAGTACACCAATCGTGTTTTCGAATTGTCTGTCAGTGTCCCGCTCTGACACCTGCCAACAAAGTCTAAAATTTGTCAGATAAACCAACCGTAAGATTGCCACTTGTTCGTTCAGGTATGCTGACATGCTCTAATTATGCTACCGCAGCGACTATGTAAAAAAAAAAACTTCGAAATCGATCTCACAGTACCCTGTTGCATTTAGTCACCCATTTCGTCTTGTCTCTGTCCGAGAACAGTCCGGTAATATGTGCAGCAGTAGCAGATCAAACCCTGAGCATCCTAAACTCAGGTGAGCCAAACCCTCCGAAAATGTCTAGGGACTCGTGGGACGAAACATTTGTTGGCGAGGGATCACCTTCTAACTGATGATCTTGGTAGATTCCTGCTGTACAATGCTCCTCTGTGGAGTTCTTCTTATTCTTACTGTGGTCCATATTTTTCGTGGTCTTCCTCTTGCACTTGTAGCTGATTTTTCTGCGATGTAGTGTCTGTTGTGGTATATCATGTAACTGCATTCTAACGATGGATGGTCCACTTGCTACGAGATGATCGACCACTTGATTTGCTTTTTCTCGAGAAATCTAGCACAAATGTCGTTTCCTCCAATATTCTGATAGTGGTATTATTGACTTGATCTAGGGTAGTTCAGGCTGGGAGGCTTTGCTCCGGCATCGTATGGGGCAAGAATAATGAAAAAGTGAATAGATTGTCATTATAAAGAACACATGTAGAAGAAGGAAGAAGCTATATTTTCCATCAAGTACAGTTTCTGTTATTTCGCCAGTGATCATGCTTCTGAATCAAAAGAACATTCCACAATTTCCTAGAGTTCATTTTCAATATTTTACCCTGAAAAGCTACGCGGATCGCCTTCTTTTGCTCTTTCGGACACTCCTTCTAAACGCCTCATTTTCGTCCTGAATAAAAGATTTGAACTCTCGGTATCAATCTTTCCATTACCGGGGGGGGACACAGAAAAGGAACATGTAATATATAAGACATCTAACCTATGACTCAATCATCGACATGTGTCGGGCGACATTGGCAGTGATGTTTATCTATAGCAGCATAGAAGCCGACCGTGCTATAGCAACTAGACGCTGGCCTGCCGGATCTTTAAGGTGGTGGGTTCAAGTCCGGAACGCCCAATACGCCTGAAAGGGTGGAAAAGGGGCCGTTTTTTAACTTTATTCATTTCCTACACACATAGAGAAGGAATGGGCCCGAAAAACATAGGAACGTCTGGCACAATTTACGGAAAAGGATAAATGGATAAATAACTAGGATGCTTTGTCACATGTTCTAGGGAAAGATAAAAAACACATGACCTGATTTTTGATTCTGGTCATCTTGTAAAATCTCAGACCATGTCAGTGTGCGCTTATTGGCAGAGCTATTGCGGACAATATGGACAAAACGGTGTTCTAGGGGTTTTTTTTGTTAGTTCGTTTTAGTTTGGGTGTTTTTTGTATAGTTGTTTTCTATTGTTTTATTTTTGTTCTTTTTTTTTTGTTTGGTTATGTGTTCCTAGGCAGCTTATATAGGCTTCGTAGGTTTTACCGTTAGTATTGAATGTCGTTGGTTTGTCCGGCTTATTTTTTTAGTGTTTAGGTGATTTTAGGCAGGCCAAACAATTCTGAGGCCAACAATGATGTGGTTTTGCAAACGAAGGCTTTAGAATACTTGGACAGCCAAAAAGAGAACAGAGGGTTGAAAGAGTAGGAGCGCGGAGACAACTTATTCACATAATTATGAAGGAGACAGTCATCCATTTTTCAAAGCCATTTTATGGAGAAAGAGGGAAAATAGAACAATGTGTGACACTGGATGGAAAGATCTGTGGAAGGAGGAATGGAGGATAAGACAACGAGAGAAGATTCTTGACAGTCTTGATGCATGGCATGGAGGTGTGTCAGCACACAAACTTATTCATGCTGCAGGAGATGAGCGGATTGTAGGATGAGCGCATGATCGACCACACTAGTCGGCAAGGCATTTGATTATGATGATGATAATGGTTGATAATATAAAAAAGTTTTTTTTTTAATTTTTTTTAATGCTACGTCCACCAAAAGAAATGGTGTTTAACCGACCCATAGATTAGGTGGGTCAGTTATGAAATTACTATGAGATCGCATTGTGTTACAAACATCTGCGTCATTTCTTTCACAGAAAGAAATGCTTGCTGCTTTATTATTGGGTTACAACTCGGTGGTCTTCAGTATTGTCATGTTCCACGCGCAAGAGTGAAAGTCACTTTGAAAGAGGGCTGCCCGTTATGCTATTGAAGTACATCTTTAGAAGTTTTCAGTCTTTAAAAAAAATGTTCCTGCTACAAGTGGTAATAGCATCATGCACATAAAACACATCCAATTTCAAACAAGGCAGGAAAACACTAGGCTTATTCTTCCTCTATTGTTTTGTGAAGGATTTCTTCTTGCTGAGTGGTCTCTCGATAACAGCTTTGATTGGAAAGGTTCGGTGTCTTCCTTTCTTTCAATGACCTTTCCCAGCCACATTTTTATGTTGCGCTCATTTTCAGTTCTTGGGTCATGGAATGATAGAAACAAAATCTAGGACGCCGCAGACAAACTAATGTTCAACCGGCCATAGCAAATAATCATGACAACTATGATGATGATGATGGTGATGATGATGATGATGATGGATGATGATGCTGATAATATTGATGATGATGGATTGTTCTAACGCAGTTCCTTCCATGTCTCTTTTGATCTTTTCATGGAATTTCATCTATTATTCTTGAAAAGAACTTTTTCTTTTTTTAAAACGTCGATGCCATGTGGGCGTTGGTAGTCACTTCTATCCGCAGTTTTCTTTATAGTGTACTTTCAGTCACGCTGATACATATATCATCCATGCCATGATATCAAATTGTCCAAAATCTTTCTCTCGGTCTGCCGATGCCCTCTCTTCCCTTTCCAACTTCTACGCTCCCACGGTGCACTCCAAATTTGGTCCTTGTCATCACATGACCAAAGTATGTTAGACTGTCTCCCTCTTATGTGGGAAATTAGTTCTCTTCAAGAGACTGCTTCTTTTAAGGTCGTCATTGCTTCTTTTTGGACTGTACACGGTAAATTCTCAAAAAATTTTTTTTTTTTCCCCAATTCGTCTACTAAAAAACCAGATCTTGACAGTTTCCATACAAATTTTCACTACTCTACCAGCTGTGCATGATTCACGTCCGTATATCAAGGGATATGAATTTCATAGCTTTAAGGAGTTATCTATTCTTGTCTCAGTTGACCAAAGAAGAAGAAACACTTCATACACTGTTCTTTCATTTTCAAAATAACTAGCCGCTTATTGTAGGGATGGCTGTGTACCTACCTGACCAACAATGAAAGTTGAAATAATTGCCCCTGCTACCTCTAGAGGTTTTACACCCTACACTGAATTACTTGCAGCAAAAAATGCACCAGCCAGTCTGCCACAGTTGTTATATTTTTTAAAGACGTGATCATTAAATGGCAGCTTTTTATTCATAGTGTCATTAATCATGAGTACTTGTTCAGTACTTAACTAATAATCCTCTGTACTGTACAATGGAAATGAAGCAGCTTATTAGTGTCAGATACTTTTAAAACACATCACAGATATAAAAGACACAAAGATAGACAGTAAGTAGGGAGATGACAAACTAAAGGATCGATCGGTATATAAAAGGGTGGGTCTAGCACTTTATGTCCAGAGTGACAGCTGCGTGACAGGGTATTTTACTTGTATTTTTAACAAACCGTAACCTACTTAACTATGACGGTGTGCGAGGGAAAAATATAATGTAAAATGTAAAGGACCGCTTTGGCTCGCCTACTGGTGTTATTGGGCATGTGGGAGCTATACTTATATTTTATAGACCAATCGGTACTCAGCGAGTGAGTAGTCACGGCTGCCTGTTCTTCTTAGAACTTCCCTGTATCCATTAAGGCTGGGTCGATCTGGGAGCCAAAGGTAGTTTTTAAAGGGCTGCGTCAGGACATCAACCCACGAACACTTCGGATCAATATGCAAACGTGTGGCCGCGTACAACACGACGGCTCACTTGTCTTTTGTTACTGTTTTTCATTGAGTTATTGCCTTTCTTCTTTTCTTCTTCACTTCCTCTGTTACCGCTTCGGATGTCGAGGGACATATAAGGCTCTGCTTCCGGCGCTTCTGCCCATCTTGACCGTAAACACAAGCTGTTGTGGTGTTTCTTTGATGTATTCTTTCCATGTTGTTCTTGATCTACCTAGCGATCTGCTTCCTTCCTTACTTTTAGTGCATACCGTGCATAGTATGGCGCCACAAGGCATTCTCTCTGTGTGGGCAAACCATTTGATTTACTATCTTTCTACTCATATATAATCTAAAATGGATTATATGCCAATGTATTTCTCAAATGATCTTGTTCATGATTATATCTTTCCTAGTCTCTTCCGCAATTCCTTCTAATAATCGCAATTGCATGCCTACTAATTTTCTTTTTTGCTTTCTGATTTGTTGTGTGTGACCATGTCTGCCATTGGTAGCATAGCTGTAGGAGGTTTAAACTGGTATGTTTCGACAGTAACTGGTTTTGAAGTTTTGTGTCCGTCACCAGTGGTTGGCAAGCTGCTCTAGCGGTATGAGGTTCAAATTCTCTGTTGACCAAAAAAAAATTTTTAAATGTTTCTACATTGGCACGTCTAGTTTTTTGTCTTCTACTGATATCACACCTTTTAGACAAACAACAAACATATACAGATACAGAGAGACAGACATACAGATACAGATAAACAGACGGATACAAAGATAAACAGGTAAAACAAACATATAGACAAATAAACAATTAGAGACGAAGATAGACAGGTAAACAGACACAGAGACAGAGAAACAGATATCTAGATATATAAACAGCTAGAAGCGTAGAGGAAGATGATAGAGATTGAGGACAGCGAACAGTTAACCAACCATTTCTGTCAAGTGCCTTCATGATATTGGACACTTCCACATCTGTAACCTCCATGCCCATACATCGTAACATCTTGCCCAGCTCAGTGCCACTTATGGTGTTGTCGTGGTCTTTGTCGAAGATTCGAAACAATTCTCGAAGTTCTGTAACAAATGTGAAGTTATGTAACACATCTGAAATTGTGCAGTCATAATCATCATCATCAGGTGCCTTGCCGACTGGCGTGAGCGATCATGTCTCTCCATAATATGCGATCTGCTGCAGCATGCATCAGTTCGTGTGCCGACACACCTCCATGCCATGCAACAAGACTGTCAAGCATCTTCTCTCGTTGTCTTCCTCTACCTCTCCTTCCACATATCTTTCCAGTGGTCACAACATGTTCTATTTTACCTCTTCTCATCCGTTTTGTACGAGTGTTCTGACATTCCATGTACCAATGTTGCAGTCATAATATGAATTAGAAATACATGCCCTTTTTTCTTTTTCTTTTGTCGTCCTACTGATACCAGGTTGTAGCCCAGTGTCCTAGATTTCTAAATCTGTATTGGCGCTTCTCGGATGGCTTGGGAGATGGATTTGTTAATGTCTTTTACTTTTCTTTTTGTGTGTGTGTGTGTGTGTGTGCAGATTTCAAGTACGCCATTTTCTATTTCTTTCTTGATCTTTCCTTCGCCTCCCTCCCAGATGTTCTGCTGTATAACAAATCTCATACGCAGTTTAGTCTCGTTAAATGAACAAACCATTTCATTCTTTGCCTTTCAATATAATTCAGACTTTGGCTTATTCCAAATTACTTTGTGATGCTGGTATTCGTAGCCCGCCCCTTCTTGTGCCGTTAGTGACCTTACACATTTCACATGTAGTCATTTTCTGTTCTAATGCCTTATTCATTGTCTATATATGGTTGCCAAGCATGACTGCGGGATTTTGCTATTATAAACGAAGAATTAAATGGATATAGACGCGTGGAACTCAAAATGCTCAGGAAAGTTTAAAAGTTTTTGACTAACCTAGTGGGCTTCATTTGTAGCTCTGGTGATATCTGGATGGTAATTAATCTCCTTTAACCTCTTGTAAATCGTGTCCAGATTTACAGATGCCATTGTGCAGCGAACCTCTCTTTAAGGTACTGGCTGTTCCTGATCTTCCCAGCCACGTTTTAAGTCTCACGGCCACACAAGTTTACACTAAGCCTTTTTAAAGCGTTTTTGAACGTTCGAAGCCTCCATACGTTTATATCTATTAGGTACTTCTTTTATAATAACGGTTTAAACTCCCAGTAGTCATTCTCAATAATCTTGTATAATGTGGGGTTATTATTATTGAGAGTCTATGTGTTGTTGAAATCAACGCATGTGTGACTAACATATAAGAAGCCATATTGTTTGAAGTAATGGTTTGTGAAATCGTGCTTTGCTTGCAGTTCGATTCTTCCAAATGCAGTCCGTAGGATTAACATCTTATGGATAGATTCCTGCAGGTGCATGTCCCTGTAAGCTCCATTCAACCGTAAGGTTATTCTGGGGCCTTTGATAGTTCAGGACCAGACAGGAGAGGATTTACAAAATATTTTGTAAAGATCCCTAACATGTTCAGGAATGCAGGATGCATAGTTTTGTGTAGCCATCCCGGATACGATAATTATAACAACTTTAGAAATTGAAAGAGGTAGTTGTGACTTTCCTGTTGGATTGACATCCATGATGCAAACCCTTGAGCTGGCAGATGGAGTCAAATCGTCGGCTGGAGTGCGAAGGGAGCAAAGAGACAGATCTTTGTAAAAAGGGCATTACTCATACTCATCAATCAAGAATTCTCCTTATGCCCAGTGGCACATGAGGCTTCAGAGAGGACTTTCCATGCTTTCCTGTCCTGTGCAATCTTCAGTGCAGTTTTCCATGTCAGGGATGCAGCACACAGTTCACTTTCCATCGTTCGTCTCCATGTTGTTTTTGGTCGCTCCTTTTTTCTCTTTCCCTCTGGTGTCCAAGAGAGAGCTGTTTTGGCGGGTATATCAGGATTTACTATCATGATATAACTAAATAATTTTCATGCGCTCAGCATTTAGGCGTAGGTTGTCATGGTGCACTGTTCCACACATATCACACAATTCACAGATCATGTCAGTGCTCTTGTCTCGCCCCATCATTTATGGGAAGCCAAATTAAACTAACAAGGACTATCTGAGAAATACGCTCGTTTGGTCTATTTACCAGTGTGCATTTGCCCTCGCAAGTGTTTATGTATGACTGTGTGTGCGTGAATGCATTCCTGTGTGTAAATATTTGACGGGCTCAAAAACTGAGCTGTCTGTCTTTCTTTACACCTATCGGTTTGCCCAGCGACTCCGCCCATCCGCCCGCATATCTGTCTGTATATATATACACACACATAAATACACACACACGTGTATATATATATATATATATATATATATATATATATATATATATATATATATATATATATATATATATAACACGTTTATGTGTATTTATACTTGAATACAATTAAATGCATAAACGTTTTCATATACATTTTTAGAATACACTAATAGTAGACAGCCGTCAGTACTTGGCGACCTTAGAGTTGTGCCGCTTGATTTTGCAACAGCGTCTGTTTGACGGTAACGTTCCCTGCGGGAGAGGTAGTCACCGCCTCATAGTCATTGAAACCGAAGTTGTATGTGTGTCCCAGGCAACTTTAAAGAATGGGTCAGTTGCACAGTGAAATGTCGGAGGCATGGCTTTCAGCGCAAGTGATGTCTGTCTGAGGCCAGTCCTGGAGGACGACAACCTAATATTGGGCCAATAGGTACCTGTCACACAGACACAATATATGCGGTCAATAGGTACCTGTCACAGGACTGACTCAGCCATAAGAAAAGTTCTGTCAACAGCCAATTCCTGTCCTCGAGAGGTTGATATTATCGGAAACACATCAAGATCTCTACTGCGTTTATCCCAGTCACTTAAGTGGACGGTTGAAGACAATGGTAGAAGGTAGAAGTAAAGAGGGCAAAGATCAAGAAGAGGAACCGGAGGAAGGGGAGAATGTGCGAAGGAGGAAGAGAATGAGGAAGATACGAAAAACGAAATTAGCTGGCGGGAAGCAAAACAGGGGGAAAATATGTAGGGAGACGAGGAAGTTAACCATTGTTCAAACAATAAGGATTGTGAATAGTGAATTATATCAATTGTTCGCCTCACCGCCACTTCAGGAGAGTCCCGATCTGCAAACCGGCCCGTTTTAGTTCGCAGGTGTCGCCAAACCAAAATTATTAAAACATGCTACCAACCTACTAACAACCTTTTCATTTTTACCAGCCTGTTACAGAAAAAAAGATTAGGATAAGGGGGAGGTGGAAAGAATAACAGGAAGAAGAAGAAGAAGATGATGATGATGGTGATAATGATAACAATGATATTTTTGGTGATGATGATGATGAACAAAACAACAACAAAAGCAACAACAACAACAACAAAGTAGAGGAGAAAGAAGGGTACCCCATTATATATATATATATATATATATATATATATATATATATATATATATATATATATATATATAAATATATATATATATATATATGTGTGTGTGTGTGTGTGCATGTATGTATACACACACATATGTATATCTTGGTTCCTTGTATGTTGATCTAAATTATGCAGTATGCACATGCCAAGCCAAATAGAAATATTCTAATCAATAATGTATGTGATACATTGCCCTTTACTTCATTATTTAACCGTGCTTTCGGAATTATTATTTTATTACAAAACTTTTTATAACCGTCTCTTTTGGCGCAATCGTAACGTATTGGTGATGGTGTGTGAACCCTCAGTGATTAATAACAACTGAATTGTCAAGGTCTATATAATATGTCTATAAAATATGAATGAATGATAAATGGATTTTCAAAGTCTATTATATATATATATATATATATATATATATATATATATATATATATATATATATATATACATATATATATATATATATATATGTGTGTGTGTGTGTGTGTGTGTGTGTGAATAATAAATGAATTATCAAGGTCTATACAAGTAGAAGTAGTAGTAGACTTTTACCCCATCAGGACATCACACAAGCGATAAACACCCGACGACATAAAGTGCCACCATATGGATGAGGATCACCGTGGAGAGGTCCCAGAAACCGCCTTTGGCCATTATACCATATTTATGGTCGGGCTATTTTGCGGCCCCTCGCAAGAGGCAGAGTAGGGCTTCAAATAAGGAAAAATTGCATCTTATAAGGAGATGACTGGATTGATAAAGTCTATACAATGTAAAAGAATAATAAATGAATTGTCAAGGTCTATGAAATATAAATGAATAATAAATGAACAGTCAAAGTCTATACATTATAAACGAATCACTAAAAAATTGTCAAGATCTATAAATAAAAATAAGTTAGTCCGATAAATGCTTGAAGCTGCAGATCAAAAAGCAATGTGGATGGAGGCAATCACTGTATCTCTCAAGTGTGTGGCAGAAAATAAAACTACTGGGTGAATAGCAGTTCCTGATTCATAGTCGGTACCTCTAAAGTCTAAAATAGACAAATGAGGCATGAATGATTATCAAGTATAAGCATCTGATCATTACAGGAACACGATGGTATATTGTAGGGGATATATACAAATACGACATCTAGAGGGGCACTCGTAATGTACAAAGTAGACATTCTGAAGACCAATTACGGACGAATGCTACTAGAAGACGTGAGGTGAGATGAAATAATATGTGTCAGAACATAAGAACGTGGATTAGAAGTGGATATGTCACGGATGGGGCTAGGACAGGAGGGGAACCACGTGTATATAATCAGTGGACTACAAAAACACTTAGCATCCACAATTTAAGACATTTGTTGCGGGAGACGGATTATTATCTGCATGGCCGGTGCTCAATGATGTCGATTCTTAATTCACTAACCTTAGTAGGAAAAAGGTAATTTTTGCATGGGATAGAGAGCCAGTTATAAAATATAGAAGTGAATCATGGACAGTTAGTAAACAAGACCCAAAAAAAATTATTGAGACTTCAGAGACATGGTTTTATAGAAAAATCCTTTAAATTCATAGGGAAAAAAAATCATCCAGATGTTTTAAAAAAGGAGAATGCAAGAAGACATCTTATAAACATCAGAAAGAGGTAATCAT